TGAAATCACAGATACTTATGTGTTCTCTATACAGACAGCTGTTCATTTAGAGCAGTGGTTCTCAACCTGGGGGTCAGGACCCCGTCGGGGGCCGAATGACGATTTGCCAGGGGTCGCCTGGCGGCTTCCTGCCACCCAGGAGAGAAGCGCTTTCTCTGCTCCTTTTTTTTTTAAAGGGGGAAAAAAAAAAAAAAAAAAAAATCGATAAAAAAATTATGAAAGAAATAAAAATAAAAGAATTAAAAAAATTAAAAAGCGATTAAAAAGAAAATAAGAAACAAATAAGAAAATTATAAAAAACAAACAATAATAAGGTGAGAGTCCTCCCTCAGCCCTCTCCTAGCGCAGCAGTGTCAGTTCTCCCGCCACGCCGGCAGATGTCGCTGAGGGATACACCGCACACGGTTCTGACAGGTTGCGCTATCAACGTAGCTCCATTCCTGGCTTGATGGGCTCCCTAGTTCTGCAGCTACAATAACCATTCTCTCCTTTCCTACCATGCTGTGCTAGTCTCTAGTTCTGCAGCTGCAACATCGATCTTCTGCCATCATATGCTGGGCACCCTAATTCAGCAGTTACCAATCTTCAGCCTTGGCCGCTGGGCTCTGTAACTTGCCCCACTCTAGAGACATAACCCTGCACGGAGCTTATAGGCTGCACTTCCCCGGACTCGGGGTGTACATGTTGGTCCCCCAGTCAAAGAAGCACCAGGTCCAGGAGTACGGGCAGTAATTTATGAATAATTTGTAATATAATTTCTTTTTTTTTTCTTACTTAACTGGTTTGGGGGCAGCTTTTTTGGTGCCCCCCTGAAAAGTGCCGCCCTAGGCAAATGCCTAGTTTGCCTTGCAGTAGATACACCCCTGGTCCCGGCCCTAGAAAGGTTGAGAACCACTGATTTAGAGTATTTTTAAGTTTATTTTTTAGTCCTCGCTTTGAGCCTTTGTAATTATACAAACTGCACAAACTTATGTATGTATACTGCATATATCAATGTAAATGCATTGTAAACAAACTGATTAAGTAGGCTAAGCAAGACAATCTCTCAGTTTTATGGTTTATATGATACCCAATGCATGGTTTTGAATGCAATTTGTATTGTTATATTTAAATAAAATAGAAGATATTAACTTTTAATAAATATAGTTGTATATGTACCATGAAAGTCCATGGTGTGGGCGACATCTGATGCATGCACAGCGTCAAGAGTACCTCCTCTACTACCATGTTATCCTGAAGCGATCCTATACAGCTGCAATACCTTTTGCTTGGCAGTTTCACCTTCTAAAGTGCCCCCGTTCAATGAGGTACCATCAGAATGGTGAAAATCGGCCAGGGATCGGGGAAAATCGAGGGGTGAGCGTCTGGCTAAGTATGGCCGTGTGGCGCTCAAAGATGGCGCAGATATCGAGAAACCTCATGATCTGGCAATGAAAAATGCAGACAAGCTCTCTCAACAGGTAGAATTTGCATTTTCTGGGCTTTCCGGAGGGCTCTGAAGGTCGGCAGCTGGAGATATTCATGGAGCAGTGGTTAAAGCAATTGGTGGGTGTGCAGGTTCTCTCTCCTCTTGTTGCCACTGAAAGAGCTTATCTAGTTCCCTTGCGCCCACTTCCACCGGGCTCGCCTCCTCGCCCTCTGTTGATCCGCCTGCTACACTACAAGCATAAAGAGAGCATTCTGCGTTCAGCTCGACAACAGAAAGATATTCTGTTCAACAGTAATCGCATTATGGTGGTCCTGGATTTTTCTGCCAAACGCAGAAACAACGTGCAGCATTTACAGCTATCAAACGTCGGCTGAGAGACGGGAATCTTCAACATAGCATGCTCCATCTGGCTAAATTCACTTCCTTTAAAAGTCCTGGATTGGTTGGATTGTCGTCTGCATACGAATCGCTGATACAGTGAGAATAAAAAATGTTTTGATCCCCTGCAGATTTTGTAAGTTTGCCCACTTACAAAGAAATGAAGGGTCTATAATTTAAACAGAGACAGAATATCAACCAAAAATTCAGAAAAAACACAAAACAAATGTTATCAATTGAGTTGCAGTTCAGCGAGTAAAAAAAGTATTTGATTCCCTACCAACCAACAATAATTCTGGCTCCCACAGACTGGCTACATGGTACACAGATTAGTCCTGTCAATTTGAGAAGGTGCTCCTAACGACAACTCATGATGTAGATAAAAGACACCTGTCCGCAGAATCACTTTCTTCCATTCAAACCTCACCACTATGGGCAAGACCAAAGAGCTGTCAAAGGACGATAGGGACAAGATTGTAGACCTGCACAAGGCTGGAATGGGCTACAAGACTATCAGCAAGAAGCTTGGTGAGAAGGAAACAACTGTTGGTGCGATTATTCGCAAATGGAAGGAATACAAGATAACCAATCACCCTCGGTCTGGAGCTCCATGCAAGATTTTGCCTCATGGGGTAAGGATGATAATGAGAAAAAAGTGAGGCATCAGCCCAGAACTACACAGGAGGAGCTTATGAATGATCTCAAGGGAGTTGGGACACCAGTCACCAAACAAACCATTGGTAACACAATACACCACCATGGACGGAGATCCTGCAACGCCCGCAAGGAAGGGAACCCATCTGAAGTTTGCCAATGAACATCTAAATGATTCAGAGAAGGATTGGGAGAAGGTTTTGCGGTCAGATGAGACCAAAATATGTACGGAGAGCCATTTCTGACCACTCCCCTATATTACTACATAACAAGGCCAGTGCCATTGGGTATTCACTCTTGGAGGATAGGTTCTCTGTGGCTGGATGAACCTTATATTCAATTTCAATGTCAGGATACGATTTTGCAATATTGGACTACACATGCCTTTATACAGGATGTCCCCTTATCGACTCAATGGGATGCCTTTAAGGCATTGGTGAGAGGGGAGTTAATGTCCAGTGTATAATCCTTCAGGATAGGTATTGAAGGGAAAAGGAGGATGGCTGAAGATTATTATTATTATACAGGATTTATATAGCGCCAACAGTTTGTGCAGCGCTTTACAATATAAGGAAGACATAACAATCACAATACAAATCAAGATGGTGAGGGCCCTGCCCGTGAGGGCTTACAATCTGTTACGAGGTGAATGTAAGGTCATGATTCCTGGAGAAAGACTCTTACAGCAAATTTTAAGAACATTACCACATATTTTCCCAGGTTGTAAATTGAGAGTCTCAGACAACAAACACAAGATTAGGACCGGCCATGGGGCCAGTTTGTGTTATAGTGAGATTGATAACCGTCATGTCTTACACTTAAACAAAGAACAAGAGACTTTGAATTTATTTTTCTCATTACTGTAAAAGAAAAAAAAAGGTTCATTATAAAAATTGCCTTAGATTTTGTACTATTAATTGCAAGAGATATTAGCAATAATTATTGTTTTATATTCTTACAATATTCAACCTACAGTCATTATATATTGTTTGGTTTTACTAATTGAAACATATCTCGTCAAATCTCCACATTTTGTTTTCACATTCTGTTGAGCTACTGATAAGCTACCAATTACATTCAAGAAGTTACATATTTTGTTACATTGATATTTTGAAATAATATCCTGTGGTTTTATTTTATTATCATCTGTGTTATCAATATTATTTCGATCCATATCCTTTGGTTGTCACCAATTGTATTTTGATTATTCTGCACTGATTTTTAGTTAATAAATATATATATTTTTGCACATTGTTGTTCTCATTTTGCATTCAAGCGCAAATAAAACAAACTCAAGTTATTTTGTTGATTTGTGGAAATAAGTTGGGAATCTCCTTAATTACAGATCCTCGCTTGTTTTCATAAATAGAAAACTGTTTATTTTATCAGTGTAAAGATTCTGACAGTGCTATTTCCTGGGGTAGGGGGGAACTGTTTTGATTATACCCCTGTATTTGCTTTTCCTTTTATACTTGGGATTGGTGATATACTGCTTGCCTGTTGTTTAAGTGATAACCTGTGTTTTACTTTGTGGTAATATGTAAAAAAATTCAATAAAAAAAAAAAACAGTTGACCCAAGGATGCCACCAGCATGTAGGGTAACTGACAGACATATTCTTCATTGGTGCACCTGAGGATTTGATGAAGGTGCTGAAGCACTCGAGTTAGAAGGGGTCTTCCAAACATCACACAGCGGGTTAGCTTGACCAGTGACCTAGATAAAGTAGCAGTGGGTACAGGTAGTGTAATTTGTTGGCAGATTCAACCTGGTGACTTGCATTTATTGTAGTTTCTCATTGCTCACATTAAATAGAGAGAAAAAAAAAAAAAAGCACACACTTTCTGGAAGCCCTGGCGTGAGTGCAAGAGTTACACAGGAGAAAAGAAGTACCCTACAATGCTTCAGATGGGCACAAGACTGCCAAGCTAAAGTTCCACAACCGAGAATCTGCGGAGGAGTAAGGTGGTCAGCGAGGTTTTCGACAGTTGGATTTCATGGTCTGCTGTCGTCTGCCGCCCCCCTCCTTCTTTCCCAGAGACAAAGCAAAGTTAGCAGTGAGTCCAAGTGGATACAAATGCAGCAGTGCATTTCTGAGGTTTGCAGAACATGGTGTGCCACTAAGATGCAGACATACTCATCCGAAGAAAGGAAAGAGGCTTCAGTAAATTTCCAAGGTTTGGTGGCCATGTTGTGACACTGAACATGCAGGGATTTTCCAAGATCTAGGGATCTGGTGTAACACTAAGCAGGATGGAATCTTCAATTTTGCAAGTTGGGACATATATCCTAACTAGGACATCTAGTGAAAAACAGAGACTGGCTGGCTGTGCAGGGTGGTATTACCCACAAGGAGGAGATAAGCCTTCTGATTTTTAGTGTTCAAACCGCTAGTGGCAGGGACTATACCCAGTGGTCTGTTAGGTCTCCCAATAAACACTAAGAGCAATAAAATGTATTGTTCTTTAATCCATTATGATCACGAAGCACATAAAAATATCTGCTCTGTAAATAACCACCACGATAATCATAAATCCTACCGTTAGCCACTGCCCAATTTCTTCTTTTTCCTTCTGAGCTGGGTCCACCTTCTGAGCCAAACCAAGACCTTCCTTAGAGTACGCTTTTGTCTTTGTTTCACGTTCTACTACCTTAAACCTTTCCATTTGCTGTAAATATAAAGATGAGATACTTTTTGTTAAATTCACATACAATTATGTAAAAGATAACATCTTTGTCAATTTTTAAACTAGCAAATACATGACCCTTCCAGAACAGGTACTGTTGGGAATATTACAAACAATGCACAAGTGGTGTCCGAGCAGGCAGTATGTACATGTGGAGTGTAGAGAGTAATGCAGTGGCAATATGTGCAGAAGAGGAGTGCCAAAGGGTATGACAGAGGGCAGTATGTGCAGGAGGGAAGTGTGAAGGGTATGATAGCAGGCAATATGTGCAAGTGAGCAGTGGAGAGGGCATGACAGTGAGCATTATGTGCTGGAGAGGAGAGGAGAGCAGAGGGTATGATAGTGGAAAAAATGTGAAGCAAAGGAATGTGGAGAATATAAGGCCAGCGTGTGTAGGGGAGGATTGAGGAAAGTATGTCAATAGGCAGCATGTATTGAAGAGAAATGAATATGATAAAAGGCAGTGCAGTTGACTCACAAAACAGGATTTTTGACTTCCTGGAAATTACTTTTATGGAGTGCATTAAGGGAAAATGTCTGAAGGATTTTGAGATGTATGGATTATACTGCTGCCTAAAGGAGATTGGACACTGACAAACAAAAAGGCACCAGCCAGCATAACTCCTCCAAAGCCCACAAGGCTTCAGTTTGGGGCAAAAGCAGTAGTAGGAGTGATCACAAGTCAGAGGGGTGGGACCTGTGTCCCTTGATGAACTCCAAGAAAATAATTTTACGGTAGATAAAAAAAAGTCTTATTTATTAATTAAATGTAATAAGGAGCACAGGGTCAGAAACATTCTGAGAAGTATGGGATGTCCAAAACTAGTCCAACTGAGGGACAGGATATACAGCAAACAAAATAACAAACCGACAAAACCAGGGAACAAAAATTGGGGGCTGGTTGAGGCCTAAAGGACTTTACTTTCGAAAAAAGCATCAGATGAGGCCTGAACATCCACCTGGTAAAACTTAAGAACGTGTGAACTTCTGAACAGGCGACATCCCTGCATATCTGGGAAATGGATGCCTGATGCTGAAAAGCCCAAGAGGCACTCACTGATCTAGTAGAGTCCACCTTGCCAAGAAAAAGTGGAACCCTATTCCTAAGTTTAAGCCTAGATAGTGAGCTGCCTGAACCACATAGAAATGGTGAAAGACTCAGGCATTCCCTAACGGGGAACCTCAGGAATGACAAAGAGGGCACTGGTTATCCTGAAGGAAGATATGGTTAAGATCAACTCAAACTGCTCATACCTCATTCAAACAATGGAGGGAAAACTCATTAGAATGTTCTGAAGCACTACAAAGATGGATTTATAGGTGGAAAAAAAGGGGTCCTAGGAGTCAAGACAACCTTGTCAATGGGGTTTTCTACTAGAGAGCCACTAACTTGTCTAGCAATGGAAGCCACCTTGTAGGTGAAAGTGGACAGAGGAATATCTCTAAGAATCAAAGGGTGGTTTCTGAAGAGCTGATACAAGCAGTTTAAGATCTTACAGAATCTATGGTAGTATAGGGAGTAATATGTGAGCAAAGCCTTGCGTTCCCCAGAGAATAAGAGGGTAATGGTCTTTGAAAGAGAATTGCTAGATCAATGTGGTGATATCCTACATGTGTAGCGCAATCGTCATTTTTACACATAGGTGCACCCGGCTTGCGTTTCCATAAGTATGCGCGCAACTCAGGGGCGTGGGGGGACTTAATTGTTTTAGGGGGTATTTTTGACTTTATTTTTTTTAATTTCTTTTCTTAACTTCATTGCCATCATATCGGGGGGAAGGGGGCTCTCACAAGCCCCCTATATGATAGAACATTAGAGATGACAGGATCTCTATAAAGGTGACATTAGGGATTTATCAGACCCCTAGTCTCACCCTTCCACTTCAATAACTTTAGATGGGGAATGACAGCTGCCTGCTGAGGCAGCTGAATTTAAACACAGCAGTCAGTGGCCGGGAGCAATACCCAGTCTACTATTGGCCATTTCAATTTGCAATAGCAGGCTGGCTATTGCACCCACCCATATGCTATCAGCAGAGGAGGGATCTGAAAGAGAGTTCTCCTTCAGGTCCTCCTCAGCTAATTGACAGCATGTAGTGGGCGGGTGCAATAGACAGACTGCTATTGCAATTTAAACTAGCTAACAGCAGGCTGGCTATTGCTCCCGGCCGCTGGACTCATCGCAGGCTTTCTAGCGCTGGCAGTTGATCGGAAGAGGGGGCAGCAGCAGGGGAGTATCTGCACAGCAAACAAGGCATTAGCCTTGGGCAGCACTTTCCAGGAGGGCCGCAATAAACGCTGCCCCCAAACAAGTGAGGCAGAGCCTCACCTGCCATTACTGGTATCAGTATCAATACCGGTATTGGTGCCAATATTGGGCATTTACACGAGTACTCATGAAAATGCCCCGCTACTAAGTGCCGATACCGTGCTTTAAATTTTTAAATAGAAGAGGCTGCCATAAGTTCCCGCGCTTGCTGGGGACCTTACGGCAGCATTCTGGGGACCTCACAGCGACTGTATACAGTGCCAGCGGCCACACATCTCGTCTTTCAAAGGTAACCCCGCCACCCGCAACTGGCCAAAAGAGCCTCAGGACCCCAGTGAGTGTTGCACAGCCCACCACAAGACGCTGCACAGCCCACACTGAGAGCCCGGAGACATCAGGCTGCCACCCTGGAGCAACACATGTACGTAGCTTTATATTATTCTGTATTGCTGTATAATGTATTGCTGGGATTTGTAGTCCTTGGTATTCTGCACTGCTAATAGCGCAACCTGCCTGAAGCTGGATACAGCATGCACGCTGTATTCAGTGACTGGCAGGTTATGAAAAATGTCTTAAACAGGTAGGGGTGGGGTAAATTTAGATAGCGGGTGCCCAAGTTTAGTCTTGCCTAGGGCAGCACAAAAAAAACAAAAATACACCACTGATGGGGGAGGGGGGGGGACGCAGTCATAGGTCGACAGCGGTCTCTCCTGCTCGCTGGAAGTGGGCTGCAGCGGTCTGTCCCCCTTCCGACCCCCACTGCCTCTGCTGATCCAGGCGGGGGAAAGAGCAGCAGGAATTGAAGGTGACGGACCGCAGCATGCAGCGGGAATGAAAAGAGGGAGGGGGAACAGAGCTGGTGCAGCAGCAGTGGGTGTGGGGGGTTAGGATAGAGGTTTGGAGTTCTCCTTCCTGCTGACCACTGGCTGCAGGGGTCAGTGTCCCCTCCGAACCCCAGCAGTGGGGATCAGAGGGGACACAGAGCCCATGAAACACTGGCTCCCAGCGGGAACAAGAGAAGTACACACAACTAATCGGTGAGAAAAGTTGACGACAATCCTCATTATCGATTATCAACAATAAAATCAATTGGTTGTTGCAGCCCTACTCAGGACCTAAGAGTTGCCAGCCATGCCGTTAAAGTCAGTGACTGTGAAGCACAGTGGCAAATTATTGTCCTGGTCCTAGTAACAGAAGATTGGGGTAATCAGGAAAAGCCCCCAGGTCAGCGTACCAAATGCTCCTGGGCCAGTTCTATGTAAGGAGCATCACCGGAACATTAGTCGGCTTTCGATTAGTTGCCCCTGTTCGCGGCTCCACACACGCCACGCCGCATGCTTCATGCCTTACGCCGCACCTCCTCCCCACCTCACCCAGCTCTGAGCTCTCTCCCGCCGCTGTCCGCCAAGACGATCACCACGTTGCAGGGAGTCTGCAGAGTGGGGGAACGAAGTTCTCGGGCAAGAAAGTAAAGTTGCTTGCAGGTAAGACTGCCTGCACTTTCCCCCCCCACATGCTGTATAAATCTATTGCTGGGATAGTTATTGGTTGTATTCCTCTATAGCTGATGGTACATTGCGCTGTATATTATTCATCAGCTATAGAGGAATACAAATCCCAGCAATACATTATACACTGCATGTATAATGTATTGCTAGGATTTGTTGTATTAATCTAAAGCTGGTGGTATTCTGCGTGCATTGCGCTGTATATAATGTAGTATTCCCAGGATTTGTTGTTTTCCTCTAAATCTGGTGGTATTCTGTGTGCATTGCGCTGTATATAATGTATTATTCCCGGGATTTGTTGTATTGCTCTATAGCTGGTGGTATATCCTGCATTGGTCTGCATATCACATATCATGAGCTATATAGGAATACAAATCCCAGCAATACATTATACACTCTGGGGGGAATTTATCAAAGCAATAACGACAGTTTTAGCCTCATTTTTTTTATGTGCAAATTTTTTTCTTTTAACATGTGCCCCTGTTTTCACCTGACCTTGCACTACTTCTGCAACTGCACGTTTTTTGCTTGTTTTGCCCAAAGCATGCACTACTTTTCCAACTGCATGCTTTTTGCACCTGTTTTGACCAGAGCTTGCACTACTTTTTCAACTGCACGTTTTTTGCACCTGTTTTGAGGCTGTATGAAACTGGAGCATCACCTAAGAAAACAATCACAACTTAACTACCTCCCGGCCAGCCGCTGTGTATACACGGCCGGCCGGGAGCTTCTTGGAAGTAACTGGGCGCGTATACACGTCCTGTTACATCAGCCCCGCTCGGGCGCGCCGCGTGGGAAATCCCCGCTATTTGAAAAGAGGCAGCGATGCCCGTTAATATACACGCGATCCGCCGGCTATAGAGCCGGCAGATCGCTTGTATGAGGCCCCGAGACGTGCACCCCCCTCCGTGGCTCTCCCCCTCCCGCTGTCAAACCGTACGCGAGCTCCCTCCGGTCCCCTCTCCGCTGTCAGAATGCGGAAGTGGTGTATATTACATCACTTCCGCATTCTCGTGTCACTCTCCAGCTTCAGATGCTGGAGAGAAGCTGATGAAGCAGATCTCTGCTTCATCAGCTTCTTCAGGGGGGTCCTAGGTGACATTAGGGGTCTTGGAGACCCCTGATGTCTCCATAAAGAGGACCTGTCACCTCTTTATGGAGACACCAAATTTTTAAGCTTGACATGTTTGGTGTCTATTTACCCG